TTAAGGAAAGTGATAATCACAACCATTATAACCACTTTAAACAGCAATTTCTTTTTTCTTTGAGTATTATGTATTAGTACCACTCATCTCATAAACATACATCTACTCTTTACCCTCAGGTTAAAATGTGAATTCATTATCATTGATAAAATATAATCGATAACCATAAACTTCAACTGATATCTTTTATATTACATTCCATTTTTAATCTAATTCCGACTGTTCTATTATTAATATTAATTTATCCTTTCCACAAGATATCACTCTATTCTATTAATCATTCAAACTTAATCCACATACATCATTTATATGATCTGTAATAGTTTATGAACATACCCATTGCTACTACTTTTACCAAAATTTAATAGTCTTATCATCACTTCCAGATATGATAACATCTCCATTATTGTCCATTACCAAGCTATTAATATATGTAGTATGTTCATTTAATTTCTATGAGCATATCCATTAACTATTTGAATTCATAGACCATATTATAATCTATCCACCACCACTAGATATAAATTGACTCTATTTCTTCATGAAATTTAAATTTCTAACATTACTTGAATGTTCACTTAGAAGTTGAGTTTGTTTTAACTATTCTTATTTGAACTCAAATACTTTGATTTACTTATTACATCCAGCTAATACCATTGAATTATCTTTATTAATGGCTATTGCCAAACACAATTCACCCTATTTAATTGAATTATCCTATAATAAATTATAACTGAATGACTTGTTATTTAATTAATAATCATTATTTATGATAGTGTTTTGTTATTTTTACTATTCTTATATTTATTATAGAGTAACTTATTAGTTATATTTAATTTATTTTTGAATATTTAAATTGATTATAGGTTTAACTTCTTGAATTACTTAATTTGCTATTATATGTATGGATGGTAAAGATAATTAAGGTAATGGTGGAATAATCTAAAGAGTATTTTAAGGAATAGGTGGTTAAGGAGCTAGAGGAAGTTAATCAAGAAAAGCATCAATTCTATAGAAAGAAGACTTATGATAACTTATATTTCAATAATTTACATCTAAATATTCTTAAAACCCTTAAAGACATTCATCAACTTTATTTTGTAATTCTGCAGCAATTGATTCTCTATTCATTTTTTTTATTATTAAATATTTTACTTAACATTTCTATTCAAAATTATTCATAAATAAAATATATTCATAAATTTATTGCATAATTATTTATAAATAAATAAATTATAAATTAATGAATTCTATCTAATTTTTAAGAGAGTTTCTTAATTAATAATAAAAAGAATGGAAAAAGTTTTTTATTTAGGAGTAAGGAAAAAAATGATGTTAATAATTTTTCACACTAAAATGTATACAGCACAAGAGCAGTTTTATAAAACAATCACTTATACGATTTAATTTTATTAAAAAGAATACTTAATACAGTAAGACCTTTATATTTTTCAAGCCAAATAGTGTAAATGGAGATTAATATATTTTAAATCATTCTTGTAAGAGACCATAATTAGTAATCAAAGAAAATACTTTTAGTTGATTAATTTCAATATATAGTTTAAATCGTTGATATTAAGATGTATAAATGAAAATACAGAAAGTTTACTCAACAAAATTTCAAAGAAATAACTTAAATTTATAATTTAGAATTCTATATTGAATTTAAAACTATTCATTTTGAAAGTTGTTTTATGGATATAAAAAATTGATTTTATTTTTAATTA